CAAAGGCGTTGGGTTTTGTGATGATTGGGACATTTTGGACATTTGTAAAGCTTCCTTCCTTTAACTGCATAACTGCGCTTTAATAGATAAACCAGAAAATGGAGACGGATATTTCTTTACACAGACTTCACAAAGATTTTATTTTACAATCACTTTGTATCTAGCGCATTTGCGCATTTGCTTCGCACTTTTTGGCCTCTATAGGCACTAAAACATGGATACATTGTTGCGATATTGGAAACACTACTGTCTGTATACATGTACAGCTGATAATACTACTAGTACAGTATTTGAAGAATTCAAATGTATAATATCAAAAATTCAAAATAGAAAATTCCATAGACATACATGTATGTGCGTATGAAATTACAGGTTTTGTGACTATTATATAGATCTGGTTGCAATAGACCTAACGAATTACACTGTGACGTGCTGACGCTTTGCTTGTCGAGAAGTTTAAATACTTGTTCACATTCTCACCACATCAAAGAAAGCAGCTAAGATCTCTTCTCTCCCATGCTAAAGTCGGTGAGCTGCAACATACGACTTTTTTTGTTGGGCCATAACTTTTGAACGGTTCGAACAAGGGCTTACATACTTCACATATGTAATACTTTTGGCAAGATCTTTCCAATGACCTTGGAGTTTGACCTACTTTTGAAAAACCTTTAATCCCTCATAATAAATTTATCGAATTCTACATTTTTATTACAAAATATGTACATGTTTATAGCAGCGAATAAAATTCAATACAACTCGCTACAACGAATGACCCTCTGATCATAAACACAAATTAGAAAACCCTCCTATCAAATATTTTAGAATAGTCCGGCTTGATATGAAAATGTGCATGTATGAATTACAGATACATGTAATGAAATATAATGATGTACAAGCAAATTCAAAGGGCCCCTGCTTTCGTTGTCTTTGTGGGTGAGATGTCATTTTTATGGCATATTGTGTCAAATATGAACGCCCTATCATATGTCATTCAGAAGATATCACCGAAGTTGATATTTTGGAAAATAACATCAATCCTACGCGTAAAGTCCAGGTGAAGGGGTCAGAAATCAGAACATGCTCTGAAATACCTTGTCACATGTAATGCGCTTATCAAATATGAAAGCCCTATGTCTTGTCAATCTAAGTTATAAGGAATAATTAATTTTTTTAAAAAGTAGGTCAAACATCAAAGTCATGGGGTATAAAAGTCATTTTGTATTTAGAAAGGTCTTGGTCATGAAACTCTAGGAAGAGTAGCATTTTGAATGATTTTCACAAATTTCTATTTTGAGTAACCACGGCAACACCGTTCATCGAAATCAAAAACTGATGCACAGAATTATGTATCTTAGTTTAGACTACTTCTGTGCCAAATTATATTTTAAATCAGGCCAAAACTGTAGGAGGAGTAGCATTTTGAATGTTTTTTTTACAGAAATTTCTATTTTTAGTAACCACGGCAACACCGTTCATTGAAATCAAAAAACGATATATAGAATTATGTATCTTAGTGTAGTCTACTTGTGTGCCAAGTTATATTGAAATCAGACCAAAACTGTAGGAGAGGTAGCATTTTGAAAAATTGTTCACAGAGGGACAGACTGACGGACGGACGCATTACTATCGCATAAGCTCTTCTGGCCTCTGACCAGTAGAGCTAAAAATGAACAAAAAACAGAAATGAATATTTTTGTTCAAATATCCAGTATTACTTTCTCTACATTCACTTCAACAAATCAAAGGCCTGAAGGGCCTGCGAGTTGACTCGCTCGAGTCAATTGAGCTTTTTAATACATCTGGGCACCATACCTTAATATATTTAGTTTATTTTGCATCTTAAGAGATTGAATATTATATGTCTGATCCATGTTCGGTTCATAAATAAAGTGTATATTGCTTTTCCTTTATATATACAGGTTGGCACTCATGGGCTTCCGTATTAATTTGACTGGATTCTATAATGAATTTCAGCACATTAGCTGAAGTGGTCAGTGTTATGAAGTAACTAGGTTAAAGATTCCCACAGCAAATCTGGATTCTAAAAATAGATTTTCAACAACAACTAGCTGCAGCTAATGAGAGCAGCAGGTGTTTGTGAGAGGGAGTATTCTAGGTCAATTATAAATAAACTTCAGATGGGAAGATTAGATCCGCCTAACATGCTTGAACATATATTCATACGCAGTAATTGTACATCGTACAGGTATTTAATCAAAAATTTCTTTAAAAGCATGAAGGCATAAATAATGTTACAGTATGAAATTTTATACAGTGTTTACCTCTTAAGTTTATACAACACTCAAACCAGAGCATTTTTTGCTAGAACTATAATATTTGGCGTATGGATCACCTTGATGAATGCGTGATAAATTTTACAGCTCTGAAACGGCTATGTCGACAGGGAGTAGCTCGCTACGCCAGCCAACTCAAAAATGGATTCAGTCAGATTAACCAGTGCTAAGCAGAATTTAGGGATAACGTATGAATTAAAATTAGAACAGATCTAAGCACTTTGTGCTTTTACAGAATAAAAGGTTTACTTCCTACTGGCTTTGGGGAAAGTGTGATTTTTCAACTGATGCCATCTCTTACGACAATCCCATGGAAGTTATTTTTGTAATATCGTCATTGAACGCGTTTATGAAGGATCAGGTTATGAAACCATGCGAAAGTGGTCGGAATTCCAGTTTGTTTCCTTGATATAACGGGAAGAGATGGTTCCACCTACATATTGAAACCTGCATTGGGGACAGGTATTCCATTTTTAATCTGTTACTCATTAAGATGTCTAACGCCTAATTAAGGACCTGACAATATTTATCACCACAGTTTATCACCTTATTATCTATTATTGAAACCCACAGCCCTAACCAAACTATCAAGTGTCACTTAAAATGCAGTAATAAATCATACATGTACAATTCTTCTGCAAATACCTCACTATAAAACTTTGTATGTAAATATTTTGAATATATAAATCATTGTATAATGAAGTGAGAGAAAACTTTATATTAAGTAGGGATGATTTCGTATCGCGATATTTTATAAAAATATCGCGAAATATTGTGATATTTATAAGCACACTATTTCTTTGATTTATATGGAATTATTGATTATTATTCCTATTTTTTTCATTGTTGTTGTGAATAAATGAAAAATCAATCATTTTATAATGTATTTAATGTGTTTTCATTCAAAACTTAAAAATAAAAAAAGAACAAATAGCAAGAAAATAAAATTCTAATTAACAATTCAAACACAAATAGATACAATCTTTCCCTTCTGGTTTGTAAAAAAAGGAAAATGATAACTTTAAAGTCAATACTCAATAACAATAGATTTGTTTTTTTTTTACAGTTTAGGGCATGTTTTTTTTTAAGAAAAGTAAATTGTCAACATGTTTAGGCTTGAGACGTGCCCTTTGGGCATTTAATATATCTCCTGCCGTAGAAAACTCTTTCCGATGGGATACTTGTGGCAGGAATGCAAAGGTATGCTCTAGCAAGTTTAGCAACAAGTGGGAATTTAAATTCATTTTCTTTCCACCAAGGAAGAGGATTTTCCTGAAGAGGTATTGCTCGGGCACTTCTGTATTCATTCACCTGCTGCTCAGCAATCGTACTTGTTGATTTTGGAGGCTCAACATCAGTAATGTATACATCACCAAGAAAGCTGTGGAGCACAGATTCCATAGAATCACCACAAGTAGAAGAAGAACCTTCTTCTTTGACTCTTTTTTTGACAGGACTAACACCTGGAGAATCTGAAGACAATGAGGGGAGGGGTGGCTCATTCAGGACTTCAACATCATCTAATTCAGCATCTTTGTCTTCTTTCTCTCTTTTCACTTTGATTATACTCTGTACTTGACAGACTTCTAAAACAATATCAGAGTACACCGCTGATCTCATTTTCTGATAAAAATGGAAGCATCTTGAACCGCGGATCCAAAGCAGAAACAATGCGTAGAGTGTGTTCAGTCCGATTATATCTTTCTTTCAAGTCTTTAAACATAATATTTTTCATGCTGCAGACTGTTGGGGTATCATCATTTTGTTCACGAAGCTTGTCCAGAAGTTTATCGTGAAGTGGCAAGATAATGGACAAAGTGGGAGATTTTTCTGAACACAGGAGTGTTGTTATATCCTTAAATGGCTTTAACAGCTGGACCACTTCCTCTGCCAAAGTAAAGTCATCATCATGGAAAGACTTTAATTCTGCTTCTCTTTCTTTTCCTAACTCCTTTGATTTCAAGGTAGCAAATATTGCTACCTGCATTTTGAGAAATCGTGAGATCATATCGTAGGCACTATTCCATCTTGTGCGGACGTCCATTATTAATTTGTGTTGAGGCAGTGATAAACTTTCAGCTGTATTCTTGAGCAAAGCAGCTGCAATGTTGCTTCTGTGAAAAAAAGGCTACAATTCCTCTAATTTTGGCTAGAATATTTTCCAGTTTCTTAACTGCAAAGCATTTTTGACAAGCTAAATTTAACGTATGTGCGTAACAGTTAATGTGAATCACCTGCTTTCATTATATTGGCAGCATTATCAGAGACAACTGGTGGAAATCCATGAGAAGTGGGCAATTTCCATTCCTTCACAGCGTTTCTCAAAACCTCTGCAACATTTTCTCCTACAATCAGGACAAATATTTTTTAATATTATTTTTTCAAAGGATTAAACCAATAAAAATATACATTAATATTTAATTTAGAATCAATTCATTAAATTGCCCTCATATTTCAGCAAATTGAAACAATAGTCAAATCATTTTTTTTTCATAATTTCCAAGGTACCTGTATAAGATTCTGGCATCATCCTGGTTTACAAAACAAAATTACAAAGATTCCAATCTTTGTCAATATGGGTGGAAGTAATCGTAATGTAGGATTCTGTAGCTCGTGAACTCCAGCCATCAGTGGTCAGTGCTACCTAATAGTAATAAGGAATTAATTAAGGATATACGATCCTCAGCCAGGAAGGATAACTCTTAATTTATAATTTAATTCATAAAGTCTTCAAATAAAGCTTGAAATTGAATTTTTTTCATGCAACAATTTTCATTTTATGCCTCTACGTATGATTCAATGCTCTTTAAAGTTTTAACAAACGGTATTTAAAAAGTTGACATTTGTACCTCATAAAATAAAGTAAAACTTGCACATTTTCAAAAAATCAGATTTCTTTTAATTTAGCCTTATTTACCAATGTTACTAAGCATGACTTGAAATTAGAAGTGATTTACGGTGTTATCTTTGAAAGGAAACACTTCATACAGTATGCATTAACAAACGATGGAAGTAAGAGGGAGAAAGTAAAGTATCGAATAAGTGTAAAATTCATGCAATTTTCCTTAAAAGCCTGGAGACCTATGATTTTTATTCCTAAAATGTATTTCTTGATCAATTATCAAAAAAAAAATATGCAGTAGGTAGTTCAAATCGCATATCCTGAAAAATTATTTGAGATTTACAAATTTTCCCTATATAATATGATTAAATCTAAAGATGAAGTTAAGAGAAACACCGTGGGTAAATACATTTTAATTTGAGAATTTAGAGACATCTTTGTGAGCATTTTCAATTACTCAATGCCTGATTTTCAGAACCTGAGGATCGGATAACCTTAAATTAAAATATTTATGTACTGAGTAAGATTTTTCTAAAGGTTTTACACATACTAGTCTATAAATCTGATAATGTTTTTCTTTATACTAGAAATTTATTACACAGAAAATACTTACTTGCTCTGCTTCAAGAAGACTACTTAGAACTTGAACTTTCACATCTGAATACATTTTTGGAATGACAACTTCACTAAATGTCTTTCTGGAGGGGACCTGGTAAGATTATCCAAACAAGCTATCATATCTCTGAACTCTGGGCTATCAACCATGCCAAATGGTCGAAGATCTTTGACAATAAATCTAGCAATTTTGTCCGTGATTGTCTTTGAAAGTTCCGCATTTGAAGGGCACTTTTTACCAAACAAAGAAACCAAGTTCCCAGATATAGGTGTATTTACAACAGATGTTTTAACCTCTAATTTTTCTGAAGTAGTCTTCGTAGGATTAGGATCTTCCGCGAGCAAATTCAGATGATGTCTCCTCATGTGACTGTTCAGGTTGGTAGTTCCATCGGAGCATTTCACTTCAATTTTACACTTTGAACAAACGGCTATGTTTTCAGTAACTTTTCCTGTTTTCTTGTCTTTTTTTAAGAGGAAGTATTTCCATACATCTGATTTACCTCTGGTGAATTTGACTAATTCGATGTCTTCAGAAGTCGCCATTTAAACTTCCGGGAGTAGTAATTTTAAAATTTGATCGATTAAATTATTTATTTCCGGATTATTTTTAATAATGTAAAAATAACGGTATTTTAGTTCCCGTATCGCGTGACCAAAAATCGCAATCTACCGGTTTACCGATAAAATCGCACATCCCTAATATTTAGCATATGGTATTTGGTACAAACAAACTCTGGCGGAAGATTGGTCTAGAAAGTAGTACCACAAAATCGGCAACACGTGACCTTCACCACATGTTGTTCAAAATGGCGACGACGCCAAAGAAAGAATCGAAAATAGTAGGGGTGGAACGATATACCGATACACCGATACATATCGATATTTTCTTTTAAGATACGGTTTACGATACAAGCATTCATTTCAAATATCGGGACGAAACGATACACGAACGATCTAACAAAAAATTGAAAATGAAAGTACCTGTCCTTGGAAAATGGCGCCTTGTACGAAGCGAAGAGACGATGATGATATTGAAAACATCATCGTTTAGGCTTAACTAATAACTAATAAGGCGTTGATTAGGGGTAAAACGTTTTCACTTTTAAGCAGCCTCGGAAGATTGGACAATAAAAGTTCAGTATGTAAAGCGTGCTATACACAGAAAGTATCGTTTCCAGAACATTTGATATTATTAATTGTTAGTCCATCTCGTGCTTTTATTTTAATCTCAAATAGGCTACAGACTTTCAGCAATTGATTATAATGTAGATCTAAATGTGCTGTTTTTATAGGAAATTTTAGTCAGTGTTCTTTGATGAACTACACAACTGTTTGTAAACAACTTCTTTACAGAAATTTGGTAACAATAATATGTACATGTATTATTGTTTTTGTAAAGTTTTAGTCAATGAAATTGATGAACTTCAAGTATTAATTTCAAAGCACACATGATTTTATATAGTCTAAGAATAATTTGTTGAATTAATGTCAAGACAAAAAATGAAATAAAATACTAATTCTTTTGCATAGTTTTATAATATATCATGTAACAGTTGATTTAATGTCAAGACAGAAAATGAAATAAAATACTTTTTAAAAATAGTTTTATAATTTATCATAATATCGTTATACGTATCGTATCGTGCTAATATATCGAGATATGTATCGTATCGCAAGATCTGTGTATCGTCCCACCCCTAGAAAATAGATAGTAAAGTATTCGTACATCTAAACTAAACTAAACGGAAGGAAGCTTTCATCAGAAAATTTTGAGAGCGAGTTGAGCCTTTTTTTATTTTTTAAATGATGTTGTAAAATCACATATTTTCGTGGGGTCAAATTTTCGTGGTTTGAGTAAAAATTCTTGGTTCGTGGGGACTTTAATTCGTGGATGAAGAATTGCTGAGTAGTTATGTATGTAACATTTTACATTTAATTCGTGGGGACATGAATTCGTTGGTCTGTTCATACCTCGAAAACAACGGAAATTGAACCCCACGAAAATTTATGATTTCACAGTTATGGTTTGGTCTCAAAACTGATATACATGGGTACATCCCCTAATTATTTTTTGAATCGGTAGGAGAAGAAAGTAGTGCAGAAAAAATTTCAAGTTCCTTAATTTGCAGACTTGCATAAAAAAGATTGGGCAGATGTACTGAACTGAGTCTCACATTTGTTGATAAGGAGGATCTTTCCTACCAAAAAGCTTGGCAAATGTAATTTATCAAGAAGATCAGCCGAATTATTTTGTGTATTATAGCGCCAGTGAAAACTCTGAAATTCCCCTACTTTCACTTTCATTTTTAGAGGTCTCCGCAGACAGACGCATTTTGCCGGAAAACGAATCTGACATGCCACCTCGAGATTTTAACCAAGGAAAGACAAGTTGATGTGCTTTGATTTGAGGGGTCACTCACTTCTGAACGAAAATTAGGGACATTGCTATGAGACGAAACGTTAACATTGTCACCTATGGGAAAACAATTAGTGGACTGTACCCATACGCCGTAACTGTTACAACAAGGTAAAAGGTTCATTTGATTTCATTCAGCAAGTGAAGACTTCATACAAGTCTTATTTTAAATGAACCTTTTCATGTAAAGACAACGATGTCTTATCCTCTTACATGGTGACACAAAAGAGATTATTAGTAGGCTTTATGGAACTTCGGCAGTCAGTCATATAGAGCAGTTAT